CCCATAGCAATGTGGGAGCACCGGGCCAAGTGGAAGTGGCTGCTCAGGTCCTGCTGCGGACGGTCAGGACACACTCCATAGAAATCCTATTAGAGCTCTCAGGTTGAGTTCTTAGTCAGTACTACTATAGCTGACACATTCATGGCTCGATTACGATACGTGTCAGGGTTGAGACCCTCAATTTCTCAATTTCATGATACTTCCAGAGGCTTAAAAAAAAAAAGCTCTCAACATACCTGTCACAAATAAGCTCAATAAGGAAGTTCAATAAGTCATGATCATGACATTTAATCTACAACAATAACTTTCATAATAATCTTCGAGTTACATGGGGCCGGCCACCTATGGATATATATAAAAAAAAAAAAAAAAAAACCCTGAAATTAAGGTTTGGGAACTTTGGGGATGAAAGTTTTATGTTTTTTTTTTTTTTTTTTTTTTTCCTGATTTTGTTTCGGTTCAAGGTGGCTGTTTGCTAAATTTGGTATCATTTGGAGCATTAGATTTCCTCTGCTGAGATTTCTGAATTTTTTTTTTTTTTACTAAACTGATCAAAACAGATATCTGAAATTAGAATGTTGGGGAAATCTCATGAAAGTGTATTTTTGCCTTGCTGTTTTATAGGTTTTTATTTTATTTTCTGGCCTTTTTTTGCAATTAGTTAGTATGGTCGCCACACTATAAATTGGTGGAAAGTTTGGTTAAAATGACCCTTGGGTTTTGTTATAAATGACATGACAAGTTGTCTAAAATTTTGGGTCTTCGTTAACTTTCTCTCTCCAATGGGGGAGCAGACAACGCTTCTAGGTTAGCGATAGAGGGCTCTGAGACCTCAGTGACAAGTTCTGAGAAATTGCAAGGAATAGACAGACATGTTGTTACCTCACCAAGATTGCAGGTAAGATATATACTCAAGGGCTTGAAAAAAGGCTAATCTCATTCATGTTTTTACTCCAAAATTGTACTATCCGAATTCTAATCTGACTCTAATCCAAGAATGTTGTGCCTTTTCACTCCTCAACCATAAAGGAACCGATTCTTCCCAATGCAATGTTGACAAGCAAAGCAAAGCTTTGGGGATTTTATCTCTCTCAGGCTGGTTCCGGAGATAGATCCATAGCGCTTTTATATCAATTTCCAAGGCTGGAAGATTACATACTTCATAACTTCGTTAGATGTTTTTATTCCTCAGGGCAGTCTGCAGGGTTTCACTGATAGCGAAATTAGAGCCCCTTTGCTCTCCCTGTTCCTTCAAAACAGTGGTGATGATTTGGATGGTGTGATGGTCGATCAGGCGGTGTCCGCCAAGTTTCTAGTAGTCTTGAACGACAGACTCCCTACCTATAAGAAGTTAGATTCAATATCTATTGGGAGTATGCTTGCGTAGAAATGGGCCCAATGTACCTCCTCAATGGGCAGGGGTCTTTCCTCCTCAAGTGGCGCTATCGTACCAGATGGAATGGACCGTATCCAGCAGCAGGTGGTGACCAACACTACCCATAGACAATCTTAGGATCATCTCCTTGAATGTGCGGGGTTTGGGCAACACTACAAGATGTTTGAAACGCACCCCCACTTTTCCAAAAATCCTTGGCACACCCCTTTTCGCACTTCCAGGCCCACATCCCACTCCGATCAGGAAGTCGCGCTAGGCGTGAGGTTGGTATCGGAGCCCGACACGTGGCAGGGTTCTAGGGTTCATAACTGGGCGATCTGGCTAACAGGGGACGACCTCGACCCCGGAACGCGCACCGACGCGATCCCATCGTCACCAGAAGTTGGTCTGCGGCTCGACAGGCGGTCAATATGAATGCTAATCAGTAGAACCCCCTGCAAAACCCGAATCCTCAGCAGAATCCTAATCAACCCGTACCACGAGCACGGGCTCCTATGACGCCACCTGATCTCTATCTGTTTGACCCTGCGCATCATCTTGCTGGAGCATGGTTAGCCACGCTCCGGGCGCAGCAGTATGATGACAACAAAGCTCATGTAAACATTCCCGCTCGATTAGGAGGGGACGCCCATCATTGGTTTAGTACCTATGTATGGGTGGATCTTCCGACGTTCGAGCGAGATGTTTTGAATCAGTTTGATTATATCAATCCGGAGCAAGCACTTTTTATGATTAAAGATCGCGTTAAAAAACCCCTCGAATCTGTTACGGAATATCGAAACCGGTTTTACCGAATGTTTGTCAAAACCGAACGGGGCGAGCAGGTAGGAAGAGATTTGTTCATTGACGGACTTCGCAGCCGAACGGTGAGGGCAAAACTGCGAAAATAGTTCTCCCCCATCAATCACACGCCGCATCAGATCATGGCCGTCGCAGAAGAGATGGAGCGAAAATTTGCTGCGAGTTTCCTAGAATGGGAAGATTACCCTAGGGAAGGGGACTCGTCTAAATTAGCCAGGGTTAAGGCTGAGCTGGCCGCGTTGCAAAACAAGTTCGAAAACATGGGGTTTGTATCCGGACATGTCACCTATTTGGAACAGATTAATCCCAAACGACCGGTCTCGAGTGTGGTTACGAGTGTGTCCGTGCCCGTAATGACAGCACCCCCACCACCAATCGAAACCCCCGCACGACCAAATGAGTCTTCTGCTCTATTGGAACTAACCAAGACATTGGTTACTCTGATTCAGGAAAGTAAAAAGGAGCAACGAGAACACAATGCTCGAATCAAGGCGATGATGAGATCGATGCGACCCATCGCAGTACGAGCCGCCCCGATTCAACACGGATTGGCCCCGACACCCCCTCCCACAGGGATACCGGGCAACCTGAACGTCTGTTATACGTGTCACCAACCCGGGTATATAGTCCGGGATTGCCCTCATCTACCCCCTCAGCAACGAGTCGGAGCCACACCGGTAGCTGCAGCACCGATCGCTAACGGGCCAAGACGGGTAGGAGCTTTGATGGAAGAAGTAGAGGGAAGCGGAAGCACCTTAGCTAGGATGGAGGAAGTTGCCGAGCTAATTCCGCTGGATCAGTACGTGACGCTTGGCTACCTAGGACTTGGGATGATTAGAACGATTAGACCCGCGCCAGAAAAAAGAGAAGTGGCGGAATGGGCACCTTCTCCAGGGGAAATGGAGTCGGGAGGACCCACCTTCGTTACTGGGGAGATCGATGTTTTAAACATCGTACGAGCCTTAGATCACTGAATCCCCCTTCCTATCGGTCATCTGCTTTCGGTATCAGAACAGGCCAACGAACGTATGTTGCAGCACTGCAAAGAAAATAAGAAACGGTTTGCTCTTACCTGAGCAGCAAACACAAAAACGAAAGGACCAACACCAGACAAAAATGTCGCAGGTACTTCCGAACCAATACGGCTAGGATTAATCCAAAAAGATGATCACTTCCTACGGATTAAACCAATCCCGTGGAAATCTGCAGAATGTGATATCGAGGGATGGGGAATTCCATATAATACTATTATCGATTCGGGAGCTGTTGTGTTGGCTATCTCCTTACAGGTAGTAGAGAGAGCAGGAAGAAAGAACGATCTAATCATGCTTACAGAAAAGGATCAGCTCGTCTCGACAAACAAAGAAAACATCAAAACGGTGGGATAAATGACTAACGTTGCCTTTCGATTAGGGAAGGTACATGCATTGGGAGACGTCGTAGTTATAGATGTCAATACTTACGACGTACTTTTTGGCCTTCCCGCCCTGGTAGCACTGCGCGCCAATCTGGACTTTGAAAGACGATCGATTGTCCTCCGAAATACGAGAGGAAAACCCTATATTGTGCCGATGAGACTGACTCTTCGTATTACCACTAATATCGCCATGCGAGTTTCTCCCGCGATGACGGTGATTCTTCGCGTGATTACCTGGGACAACGGGCAAACATCCAAAGACGCGGACAACAGTGATGATGACGATCCGGTAATCTTGGAGATGACGCAACATCGTATTCACTATCCCGCACAACGGACAAATGTAAACATCTTGAGACGGACTAGCCAAGATTTGCAAAGAACACAGACAATGATTATGGGAGAACCTCTCTTACAAATTTCAAGGATGGTCGATTCTTTGAAACCCCCTCGAACCCTGTACGAAGGGATCTCCCCTCTTCTCACCCGATACGATGACAAAAGGCACTACTGCAATATCACGAATCTCCTGAAATCCCTTTTGACACCACCAAAAGAGATTCGATTGTTACGCTTAGGAGCAAAGACCAACTCTTTGCAACCCCCTGAGCGCCTCGAAAACGGATTCGGGATCAAGATCGCAACGAAACCTATGTCGTGGCAAGACATTCGAGACGGAGTAACACTGGAGGAACACGTGGCCATTCGAGAACAAGACGCACAGATGATGGCCACGGTGTTTTCCTGGCGATCAGATAAACGCCCCCGCCAGAGAACACTACGCGGATGAATACAAAGCACATCGATGTAAGGATATGGGATGAGTTGTATGAGTTGCACGTACCCCGATATGTACCTGAGGAGATCCACCACCTAATCGCAGACATTCTAAAGGAATACAAAAGAGCGATTAGTGTGACGGACACAGACATTGGACTGTCGTTAGTCATACAGCACGAGATCCAGACAGAAAACCATTCCCCAATTCACTGCAAACCTTATAGATACTCCCTGATAGAATGGAAAAAGGCTCTCGAGCGGATTCGAGAATTTGAAGCAAGCGGTTGGATCGAACCCGCCACCGGACCGTGGTCTTTTCCGGTAGTATTAATACCGAAAAAGAACGGATCGATTCGCATATGCATTGATTATTGCAAACTGAATGACATCACGATCAAAGATGTGTACCCCCTCCCCCGGATTGATGATCTGCTGGATGCGATTGGGTGTGCTAATTACTTAAGTAAGTTTGATATTCGGCACGGCTTCTATCACATTTTGGTCAAGGAGGAAGATCGACCGAAGACGACCTTCGTACTGTTTGAAGGCACGTGGCAATCGGTTCGGTGCCCGATGGGGATTTGCAACGCGCCCGCCACGTTTCAGCGAGCCATGAATGTCACGTTTCAGAACTTCGTCAATAAGACGCGGTTAATGCAGGGAATGATCAACTTCTGCGTCATCGTATACATGGACGACATCCTGGTCTATTCGGAGACCTATCACGGGCATGCACAACATATCGAGTGGACATTGGGTGCTCTGAAAGACGCCGGATTCAAGATCGCGCTCGAAAAGAACGAATTTTTCCTTTCGGAAATCTCGTTCTTGGGCTACGTCGTGACACATGGAGGATTGCGGCCTGACTCAAGAAAGGTCGCGGCGGTGAAGGAAGCTCATGTCCCCACGTCGCTGACGCAGGTTCGAGCCTTCTTAGGGTTACCTTCGTACTATCGTCGTTTTATCGAAGGCTTCGCCGCGATTGCACGACCCTTAACGAACCTGTTACGAAAGGACCAGCCCCTTAGTTGGGATGCAGAGTGTGAACGGGCCTTCGCGACCCTCTAGGACGCTCTGGCAGCGACACCTATTTTGATCCGGCTGGACCCCGCGAAGCAGTTCATTCTCATCACGGACTGGCAGTCGGAGGTTATTTCCGCTATTTTAGCGCAGAAGGGGAACGACGGCCGCGAACACGTCATCGAATATGCGTCACGAACGGTGCCAGACGAGCGGAGAAATGATTCAGCCCCACAGGGCGAATGCTACGCAGTAGTATGGGGAATCCAACACTTCCATCCGTACCTATACGGACATAAGTTCCTCCTCGTTATCGATCACGAGCCATTGCTGGCTCTCAAGAAACTCACTAATTACACGGTACACGGGTATGATTGGACGGTGGGCGGTGAGTCTACAGGAGTACGGCTTCGACATCATCCATCAAAAGACAGAGAGACACGGCAACGCGGACGGGTTGACACGTCTGCATCGCCCCGCTAAAGTGTTGAGGCCTCCCCCACACTTGAACATAGTCAGATCCATACCGGGAAAAAAAGAGCCATGACCTCAGACAAACAAGTTTTATACCTGAACCCAAAACCGCACCCCTGACTCTAAGAGCCGCGCCCCCACCTCCTCGCATACCACACAAACCAATGGACGTGATTGGAGTCAGATTCATTTAGGTCAGGCTGCAATTGCAGTCAGACACTTCAACATAATGAGAAGCATACCTTCGACATGGGGGGGGAGGGGATGTGGAGGAGGGGGGGCAGAGCCCCCCATCCGCCACACTTGAACATAATCAGATCCATACCGGGAAAAAAAAAGACATGACATCAGACAAACAAGTTTTATACCCGAACCCAAAACTGCACCCCTGACTCTAAGAGTCGCGCCCCCACCTCCTCGCATGCCACACAAACCAATGTATACATGGGGGGAAGGAGGTGTGGGGAAGACCAAGTCAGCGTGCATGAAACCAGGCCAACGTTGGGCTGCTGTGCCGCAATAACATGGTGTGGGTGACGAACATGGTATACATGGGGGGGGAGGGGGTGTGGGGAAGGGGGGGGGCAGAGCTCCCCCTCCCCCACACTTAAACATAACTTGAGAAAAGGCAAGTTTTATGTGTCTAATCTATAAAGGAAAAACAAATGTCCCCTAATCTATACATGGGGGAAGAGGGGGGGTGGGGGAGGGGGGCGGAGCCCCCCCTCCCCCACACTTAAACATAACTTAAGAAAAGGTCAGTGTTATACCCTGGGGGTCGACATAGATAAGGGGTGCGGAAAATGCAGCAACACTTTATACCCTGACACTCGACATCAATAAAGGGAAAACAAATGGGGTGTCCAAATGGGGTGTCCACAAAAAGCGAGTTTGGAACGCCTGGCATGGGTACCGCAAACAAACCAGCCCCCCCCTTCCCCTCACAGGAGGAAAAAAAAAAGGACCTACACTTGAACGCCACCTTCCGCTGCTTCATTGAAAAAAAAAAAGGGTTCGCGGGAAGATGGGAACGCCCCCTCCCCCGCAATTGTGCATGGCACCGCTGCGGAGTTTCGCAAGAAGACAACTTCTGGCCCTGGCTGGACTCGCTTGAACTTTTTCCGCTGTCTGAACAATGACCAAAAGTCGACCAGCCGGTTCCAAACCAGCCCCTTCTTCGCGCCCCCTCATCCGCAACCCCTCCCTCCCGCACTTTGACATGGGGGGGGAGGGGGTTGTCGGGGAGCTCCCCTTCCCCCACACTTCAACATGACAAGAAAAGGCAGGTTTTATACCCAAAGCCAAAGCCCGGCCTGCCTTAGGGAACTTGGGGGTATGGCATATTGCTGCCACCCATGGCGTTTCTTAGGCTGAGCCTCTCCATCAACAAAGGAAAGCCCCTCGCCCTGGCTGCGCCACCACGCTTGGCGTGGTCTAACAGTAAAAGTGAAAAAAACGGTATTTCTGCTCAGATTCATCATGGAAACGGCTGGGCTGCTCGGTAACCTGTTTTTTTTTTTGTTTGTTTTTTCTGTTTATATATATATATCGTCAAATAGAACTGCCCGGTAAACCGTAGGCAGAGAGGGAGAAGAGGACAACAAACGAGGGGCTGTGACAAACTGTTTCGTCGGAGTTTCACCGACTCATCAG